TTCGTTTTTCTGAATTCATCTCAACGAATGCTCGTTCGCATTCGTGTGTTTCGAACGCAAAACAAAAAAAAAATGTGTCGAGAATTGTATCACACCTTTCAAAATGTTGTTATTAGATAGCAAACTTCACAAAACACATAAACACAATCATGTCTATTGAACGACACACAAAAAAAAGAAAAAACAAATAATCCGCAAAATTTTTGTTAAATCAGCTTCTCCAACCACCGCGATGAAAGTGTGCCCTCGAAGCTCGTTGAAGCAGTTAACTCATTAAGTTATGCGGCGTGTGTTTGTGTGTGTGTGTGTGTTTTTTGTGGATTGGTAGTTTTGTTGTCGATCGCTGTAGTCTTCAATTCGTTCAGATTCTTAACGTTCATAGAGGCATAAGATAACGTCCACATAACCATGGTTAAACAACAAAAAATCCGAACACTTTTGCTTTTCATTAACAGAAATTCATGATTCCAATCAAAACGATCAAGTGATAATTTTAATCCATATCTAAAAGCAAATGTCTCTTCTTTTTCTATCGCTGCACTCCCATTCAACGAATAACTTTTCCATTTATANGAAATAGGTTTTGAAGTTTCTTCTTTCACTAGCCGTGAATATATTATGGGATACGCCTAATCAGTTAATCGCATTCTGCATAAAATGATTACACATTCTATGCGTTTGGGAACGATCAATGAGGATCACTGGAATGGAAGGTGATAAGATTAGAAAAGAGCACACACCATGCGGAAATGATGAAAATAAGACAATTGAAGAGGTCAGTCATGTAAATGAAGTACAAACGGAGAGAAATATTCAAACAAAACCACGGAGTTTGTTTCATTCACAAGCACTCTTCATCATTATGATCGTAAAAAGTTTCGTTCTCGGCAAAAATAACATCGAAAAATCAGCATCCATTCATTCATTTCGCATGACAAAACGATCAAAAATAGACATTTAGGAAGAAGCACAAGCCGAACATATACCTATGTATGCCTATCACCATATTCTCCTTTCTTTCATGGATTTGAAATTCATGGAAAGGAACACATTTCGTGTGCAGCTGAATACTGGTAACAAGATAGGGGACGTAACTGGCCGATTTTAAAACTATGAAAATGAGAAACTCAAGCTAACCGCTCACGGGTGATATTACATCAAAAGCATTCGCTACTATTTAGCCTGACTGATCCTATTATGGCGTTTCACATGGAAATACATCAATTAAGTAAACGAGTAATACATTTTTTGAACAGTCGACCTAACCAATAACCATGAGAAAAATTCCTTGAGTCCCTGTCCACTGCTACCTGACCTAATCCTCAAAAAATTCCTCGTGATTTTTAGCTACTGTCTTATAGAGTGACCTTGGAGTATTCATGTAGAAGAGAGACCAATGGTGAAATTTCAAGAACACACAGAAATTCCGCATGATGAACTGCACCAGGAAGCGCAAGCAAATTTTGGTTTGATACAACAAGGAAGGGCTAAACAAATAGCTGTTTTTGTACTCACACTGAGTGCGGAAAAAAGAGTGACAGGCTGGCAGATAATAATCCTCGAAAGGATGGTTTGAGAATGATCAGTGAAAGTGATAAAGTAGCGATCTCATGCCTCTATGCGCTAGCACGAATCGACGACCACAGCGATCAATAATCAAAAGTCCGATCAATCATATACAATCAATCGATATTTGCTGTACCTCTACGATGTGATTCGGTTGAACACTTGTTGTACTCGATGCGGTCGATGGCTTGCAGATGGCATATCCGTTCGGAGTGTTTGCTTCAGCCACTCCGACGGGGGTTGTGGTTGTTGTTCGACTATCGGCGACGTTCGATGAAGAGGAGCCAGCTGAACGAGTCGAGCGCACCTCATTCATGACAGGGCTTTGTAGGCTTGACAGAGATGTGCTCGAGCTAGGACCATCTGATGCGGACGTTAATGCACTGTCCGTCATACGAAATGCACCACTCATACGATTCACTACGGTGACGGCCGATATGGCTGCCTTTCAAATAGCACATTTATCAGTCTTTTTCTCGTCCACATTCACTCTGATCAAACGTCAGCATTCACCCCGTACATTATTTACATAAATCTCTTAAATCACTACTTGAACTGTATCCAAGTGATCTGTTGGTTTAGTCAATAAGCTGAAAATCTTGCAGTCACTTTAACAAAATATCATCTTTTACTGGGTCGAAGCCGTAGACGTGCTTGTTCTACATATTCAACACAAATTCAGATCAACAATTCAAACGAATCACTGAGTGCGAAATGAGATTATGCTTTTTTGAATTATTGTTGTTCACATTTGAAAATAAAGTCTGAAAATGAAGTGAGATATTCGAAAACATTTCGGCCACAGAAATGCGCCTCTCAGAACGTTGTGATGCTTGCATGGTCAACTCGGTCTGTTGACCACGCAAACGTATAAACGAGAAAGCGAATGCTTCAACGGTAATAATGAAGATTGTATTAATGTTGGCTCGGAAAAGAAGCACTCGAATGAACTGACTCATGAAAACTACGACAAACAAATAGATCACTATTGAGCAGTGATTTTCGAATAGTCATTTCACTATTTTCAACGTTGCACTGCAGTCAAAACGATAATATCGTTTTTTCAAAAAATCTACGACGTGCACTTGTATTCAAAACAAAAATGCTAACAAAATGTTCTAAAATATTTTGTTCTAAATTGTAGCAATTTTTTTCACTACTTCGTATATGCCAAATGTTATCATCGTTTGTTGATTCATCCAGAAACGACCAAAAACAGGGTAAACGATCAAAAAGCTGCGAACCGACGAAGACTATAATAATGTCATCAGCACTCATGCAAAACAGATGTAAAAAACGGGCAAACTAAATGCGAGCATTATGTGTGCATGAAACATAACCAACTCAAACAGCTAAATGTCAATTCATCAAAATCGCTACTATTTTATAACAAACCTAATTCTAACTGATCAATACTATTACGTGAATGTGAATCAGCTACTAAGTAATCATGGAAGCCTCCGACGGCCATCGACTGCAAATGTTGCTTTTTATGGGATCATAATAATCTAATGAATCTCAAAGATAACGATAGAACATTCTAATTGCATATCATCTATCTGTTTTTTCCGTCCTGTTACAAGCTCCACTAACTGGGCAGAGCACAGTCGACTAAAAAAGTCAATAGCTATGGCGAATATCGGTCAGAACGTCACGATCGAAGGGTTTCGTTAGCAACACCGATTGATAATTATGATAGGTACGATTAAAGTTATTCGCTAATATTTCACAGCACACAAATTTTGAGATGGTAAAATTTTGGTGATTATCTTGCTCACTTCCTGAGCGAAGTGAGCAAGAGTGATAACCAGGTGGGATGATAGAATAGAACAAGGAAAGGAACTGAAATGAAAACAATCAACGAAACTCATTTGACGCTATCACAATACTAATTGGGTAATCACAACAAATCAATCAACAAACGAGCCAACAAACACAAACATTAGAACACTGGCAAACAAACCGAATACTAATCGAGACTCACCTTCAACTTTCGCCTCGCATTGAACTTCTTCAAGCAGTCGACCGTGTCTTGTCTGTGCATCACCGATGCCACACGTTCACGATTCTGAATATCATTTCAAATTCATTTAAATGTTCACAAGCGATTATTGATGACATAATGAAGGTTTATAGTATCCCATCAAACATTAATACATAAAATTGGAAGAAAATCGTTGAAATTAACAGAGCCGTAAGGGATGATAACATACACAAATCCATGGAACCCTTAATGCCTGCTCTGCT